CCATGTTATTTAACGTAAAAAGTTATGTAAGACCCATAAATTTTTTTCTATTTATTTGCGACCGTTTTGTCAATAACAGAAAAAAAACAGTTTTGTTTGAGCCCTTTTAAGGGCATATAACTTCCTAAGGGTGCGTTTTAAGGCACATGTTAATAGGAACTTTTTGGCTTATTTTAATGAGTTATAAACGCAGCAGAAGTTTGGAACCCTATTTTAGAAACACCCTGTATATGTAATAATCCAAAACGACATAAAATACCAACAAAATTAAGCCGCAAATGATACGCATGAAATTAAAATTATAATATGATGTAAAGTTCGGTCTTCTACGAGAGAATATCTGGTATTTTATAGTAAAATTTAAAAGTAGTATTTAGCGAAGCGTTTTTTATGTAGAATAAGTGTATTTCACGTTAAATATAAATATCTACGTTTATTTAATATATCAATAATAGTTGAACTCTCTCAAATCATTAGACATATTTCTTACTTCAACAGATTAGTAGATGAACATTACAATTAGTAAATCTGGCAACGCTGTAGCGAAGAGGTGTCAACGGATCTTTCGCAGGAACCACCCTGTCAAACAACTTTTCATTGTGAAATCCTATAATTAATAATTGTGTTACTCATCCCGTCAAAATATAAGCAAATATAAGCGCACCATTGTATTCTATAAATCATCGCTTAAGATCATAAGTTTTACATGGCCTTTCTCAAGACGGGTCAGATTTTATACGAAGCACTAAAAAAAAGGAAAGTTTTGTGTCTTTATAACGCCATGAAATGTAAATATATTCGACTTTCTTCCAACTGGACCGTACTTGAAAACTTCGATGGTTGCAAAGTTTTATTAGGAATTTTATTACATCCCGAACTCCAGTAAAACTATGAGATTAAATTTACATATTTTATCATTATTGAACTGAACGAAAATTTCGCAAATTTGTTTTTTAATACGGGTCTGGGTATAAGAGTGTGGGTAGCCTCTACGTAAGTAATCCCATAACAACGAAACCCGACAACCGATAAAACTTCATTTCTCCCTGTCCCCATTCCTACGACCAAAGATGGAGAAGTGAGTGGGCCCCGACAATGATTGGAAAATCACAATTTCAAATCTCGCACGACGCCTTACTTAATATTTAAAGTTAACTAACGACTGACGCTCACTTGTTTACGTAATGACAGTCACCTGTTAGACATTTATTATCCCGTTATCTATCTAGATACCTGTGCATCGCTGTCACGTGTGTTCCTCGGTAACAAACAATAATTATTAATGGTATATATGTAATAGGTAAATCAACATTAATTAATTTTTTATAAACATTTTTATGCAAAAAAAACGCATTTTTTTAGTTTTTTGCTTATAAAACCTAAACTAACGAAGCAATCTGAATGTTATAAAGAGGTAATTTGTAGAGAATCGAAATGCGAATAAAACAAGAGGTCGATCGATCCGATGGGATAAATGGAAACGAAGAAAACCCGGAAAATGTAAAGTTTTTTTTTCAAATTCGTAATTTTTTAAGTTGTAAAGCTGACCCTGTGCACAAAAGTAGTGAATTATATGTACTTTAAGTGTGCAAAAAGCAGGCGCTGTCGGACCATTATTTTTGGCATAATTGCAATTTTAATTTTTTGGTGCATTATTGTGCAATATTTCTGGATCCGATTTTAATTTTTCAGTCGGTGATCGTTTTTGGTCACTGAGCAGGTTATGTGGCCGAAAAATACGTGTATTCGTTTATCTACATCAAATGTGGCAATTTTTATTTCTAAATTTGTCAGAGATATGTCGAAATTTTACAAATATTTACCAAATTGCAGTGTACATTTGTTGCCGGCACTCCTCAAACTAGTCACAATCATTTACGTTTGTTTTTTGTATTAATAAGAGTAAAAACATTTTAACAAATATTCGGTATAAATAATGTAAAAATTTAAAGTACTTTAAATGTATTCTATTCATGAAGATGACGTGTGTCATAATTTGTACCTACAGAGGTAAATAAAATAGTACTTAAGTCATTCGTTCACCAAAATATGTCATAAATAAATAAATATAGAAATGATACGTTTTTGCAAGTACCTATAACAGTTAAAAATAAGAAAAAAATCATTTAAAGTACCTAATAGTAATTCTGCTACAAATGGCATCCGTATGGTACTTATAGGAATAGTATTGAGGTAAATATTCAAGTAGTTCGTTCACCTGACGTTTTACGAATTAATTTTTTTTAGATAGATAGTTACTTAAATATCTAAATTTTGTTTCTGTAGAACACGAAATATTATTATTTGTACTAGTCTCGGTAACGATTAAAATATGAAATCATTTAAGTAAATTAGAAAAGACAAAAGCAAACAAATATACTTCTTATGACAGGAACTTCAAACTTGTGTCAAAACCATGACACTTATGAAAAGTAAATTTCTGAATCTAAAAATGATTGGAGTCGTTTGAATGTTGGCAGATAAATTAAAACAAATAAAAACCTCATTGCCTTGGCTGTGACCTACAAAAATATTACCAAAACCTCGGTCAAAACGCCAAAACCGAGTATTTGCAATTACAAGGTAAAATGTGGGTAACACGAACGATTTTGTGATTTGTACTGTTCTTAATTACCTAATTTGGTAAAAAAATCCAAATCCCGTTCAAAGTACGGTTTTAGGTTAAGTTGTACCTACAAGGAAACGGTCAATTTCCACCAACTGCGGCGTGCGAGGTGCGAGAGGATAATAGACAAAATGAAAATAAAATTAATAGTATAAATAGACATTATGTCAAATGAATAATTCGAGTAGGCGACAGCACTGAAAACATCCACAGCATCACATTCTGGGCGTAGGTAAATACGCCTGACGATACCTGCTGGAGGAATCAAAGATGATATCAATGAAAAGGTAGAATTATTCGTTTAGAATTCATCGCGAGCTTGGAAGAACCAACGGAAATGATCTGGTGGCACCAGCCCAGACTGCCAAGCAACAACTTTTTCAATGGATGGTTAATTACAAAGTGCAAATTAGGTTATTTAACCCAAATTCCGATCTAGAGCACATTTGCCGCATTTCTCTCAGGTTTTTTATAACCAGGGCGTAGTGTCGTCGACGTAATACAGCCACTTGTTACTATTTAGGTGGAAAGTCGCACTGCCAAAATAAAAGACCGCTGGAAATTCAGCAGACAACAGCTGATCGACGAAATTCCAGCGCTGACGCGAAGAAGGGCCATTCTCGGCTAGGTCGAGGCTTTTTTTATATTGGGAACCCTTCGCAGTGCAAACCGACATAGTATGATGATTAGTAAGGGCAATTAATCAGCTTACCTGTCTGGTAACGAACGTATCATCCATGTCGAGTTTCCTTCGTTCTCCGCGGTCCATTTCTCTCGGCGTATCCTCGCCACTTTGCGCGTTATTGCTACTAGAGTTTTTCGTGAAAATCCTCGATATTGCACTCCACATTCACGTTAAATTTGCACAAAAATATTACTTTACCCCTAGATAATATCATTGCCCAGCCTACGCATAAACTTGTCGAGTTCTGGACTTTTGAGCCGCTACGAAACTTAAATTATCAACTAAATTAGAATTTGTGGTTAACTACGAACTATTATCACTCATATTATCTTTTGTTACAATTATTTTTTCGTTATTTCACTAAATTTAACAAACACTTACGATGTCTAGTCATAATGAAAACTACCAAACGCTACTGGCGCCGTTCGCGGTACATTGACGAACTTACAAATCGAAAACGACCACAGCGCTCTTGATTCGAATAAGGGCGGGGTTTTTAAAATCGGCACATACACTGCTCGACATAATTAGTGCACTTTTATGGAATATTTTGAATTCAAAAATATATACATATTAAATGAACTGGGAGTTTAAGCATATTATTTGCATTTAGCACCTAATAAATGAATTAAAAAAAAGACATATTTCTTATATCACAACATTTTATTCTTATTATTGACAAATACATATTTATACATAAAATTGACATATATACAATGGACACACGAGTTTAATAATAAAAAATGACACATTTCAACCCTCGAACGAAAGTATTATTACCTACAACAGATTAAAAAAAATAACCGTCTAAAGCTCGTCACTGGTATAAAAACGACTTAGAATTATACTTTATTCAATGGCACCCACAGCTCTTAACCACCATTTTCTTGTATTTTTTCAGGATAACGTTTTGATCGTCCAAAAAGAACAGGACCGAAATCGGATTTAGCTTGGTAGGAGCGCAACAGGGCTTGGGATACCTCCAGGGGTTCATCAAATGGACCAAAGTCTGTACGATTGCGTGGTTGGTCGCATTCATGTGCGCGTTGAGTGGGAAGTTGCACTCTCCTGCGCAATAGTAGGCGGCATAACCGTCGGGGGCTATAATCCAATCCTAAAAAGAATAGTAAGCATTCTAAATAATATATAAATTTGCAAATATATACTATGCCATCATCAGGGGAAAATAAAAATGACAATCATTGGAAAAAAAATGGCTGATTCATTTTTGTGTAAATATAAAAATATTACTAGAATTTTTTTCAAGACATTGTAACAAATTGGGACTTTATTTGTCCTCAGTATTAGTTGATACTGACGAGTAGTAATTAAATCTACGCCAGTAGGTACAAAGTAATGTTTTGTGTTAGTAGGCATTGGATAGCAATGACATTTAAGATATAACATATTTTGTAGGTTATATCTCACAGAGAGACCTACATCAGTAGGTATAAAGTAAAGTTTTATGTAAATAGGCATTGGACAGCACTGACATTTAAGATATAACATATTTTGTAGGTTATATCTCACAGAGAGACCTACACCAGTAGGTATAAAGTAATGATTTGTGTCAGTAGGCATTTGTGGCAGTAAGAAAACATCAGATTTTTCCGATTACTAACCTGCCACTGTAAATCCTTAAAACTGATGTACAACGTCTGTATCCGGCAGCTTCTTCTTCCCTCCGGATCATTGCCTAAAAATAACAACATTAATTAACATTTTACCAGTACGGTTGAAAAACTTACTCTTATATTCATTCGCTATGTTCGGCAAAGGTGTCGACTTCTTGATCCTGGTTTTGGTGTCCCTGGTTGCCCTAGCTTTCACATGATTTGATGCCTTCAGGAAAGCTACCATGAACGGTTGGATCTCGTCCTGAGCTTTAACCGTTACGAGTCCTATGTCTTCGGGCCTAATTTCGTGACCTAAAACGCATTGCCACAACAATAAATAAAATTAGGTAGATAAATAAATTCTAAAGTTTCTTATATCTCTTTTTCACAAATTCACAAAAGATTGTCCGGCCTGATGATTTTTTGTGATGAAAACAACTGTATAAGCTAGTTGATAGAGCTCCCAGATGATGCTGATTAAAAATTCAAGTAAAATTATTCCAAAACAAACTGTAAATGGTACTGAACTGAAATGAAATTTTTCTTTCACATAAAACAGTGGAAAGTTGTTTTTAAACGAATTTTAATTGTATCCTACAAATATATTTTTGAAATTTAATAGCTTTTGAAATATGTCATCAGATAACGCCAGAAATGCTTCGAAATGTTTGTTCGAAAGTGGAGCAAAGATTTTATTATTGTATGGTAGCGGAGGGAAACCAATTTAAACACTTAATAAAATAACATTCTTTCATTCATTGATATTTTGTCTTATTCTTTAAGTGATAATTTTATTGTCATATCCAAACCAAACCAAAATTTAAAAAGTTGTATGCCGGTTTAAGCAGAATTGGAAAAGCTTTAAAATGAAGTGTATCACTCAACATAGGGTGCCATGGTGCCTAAGGAATGTCTTCCAAAACACCAAAACTTACGCTATTCTCCTTAAAAAGAAAATCGACGTGTCTCAGTTTTTTTTTGTTTTTTTTTTTTAATTCTGATACTTTCCAAGTTGGAAGTTTTAACTGGATCACCCTGTATATACTGTTTATAATAGTAGGAACATAGACCACTGTGGGTTAGTACAAAAATTCTGTTTTAAATCTTCTTCTTCTTCTTTTAAAGGGCCTTATTATTTGGAATTTCAATTCAAATCATTTCTAAGACTTCGAAATTAGTACAAGTTTTGAGTATTTTTAATTTTAACCATGTGGTGCCTCATTATGAAATTACTAAATTTTTTTTTTATCTACTTATAGGTGGACAACTTGCTTAAAATTTCTACTCGAGATCTTTAAAAAGAATTAAAAAATTTATTTCAATATCAAGTTAGTGAGTTTTATGTGAATCACCCTGTATAGCATTATTTCAAAGGACAAAAACTCATTATTTTTTCAATTGTACGTTTCCAAGAAGTGTTACACTGTAAACAACAGAGTTAAATTAACATTTTATTGTTATTAAGCAATTAATAAATGCTTGTGTCTAGAAATAGAATCGTTTAATTGATAAATGAAGATGGGACTATTAGTTATGCTGCTCGCATAAACGATATGATAATATTTTTTAACTGATTATACAGGGTGAGTGAGATTTAACGTCGTACCCAAGAATTTGTAATACTTGTAGTGTAGTGTAAGGTGTAGATAAATCTACTGTTTTTAATTTTTAACCAACTCACCGAAAACAAATAAATATACAGGGTGTTCCGAACCTAGTGGTAACTTTCTGAGATGAGAATAAATCAATTTAGATCAAGTTACCTCAGGTACAATTTGGTTCTTTATAAAATTAAGGCCCTTCAAAGAAAATTTTTTAATTTCATTTTTAAGGATATTTCAATGAAATTTGACATGGGGGAGTGTTTGAATGAGTGTTTTTTACCAAAAATATAGAGGTGGCTCGGAAACCTGAAACAGTCTTTTATTTTTTGGCAAAATGCGTATTTTTGTGACTAACTTTAATATAAATAAACTTTAGTCAAACAAAAACAAGACCCTTATTTTCTTGTCCTATTCCGACTACTTATACTTTCTTTTTGTTTTTAAAAAATATCAAGTTTCGTTATTTAAAATTGAAACCTTCACGCAAAAACGCGAAAAAATATTATTTAACACAGGACCGCACTGCTTTTTTATTCAATTAATTTCTACCCAGATTGTCTTAGTCGGGAAAATAAGGGAAAATAATAAAGAATAACATTTTTTCTTTTTTTTTTAACCTGTGAACTTATACAGGGTGATTCACAACTTATCCAAAAAAAATTTGGGAATAAATGTGGCATGAGAAATGGAGTCAATATTGTAAAAAAAATTTTGGGGTAAAATCCTTATAGTTTCCGAGAAAAAAATTATTAAAGTTGTAGTGCTTTCAACCATTATATAGCTGGACAACTGTAGTCTCTAGCGTCATTCGTAATACGCGTGGAGAGCCACGTGGCCTCAGTGACTCAGAACACTGAAATCCGATGTTTACAATAGTTTTTTAGTGTCAAAAATGGCTTGCGTGTATAACAACTTGGAGTTGATGGATATCGTTTTAGTTTATGGTGAAGCAAGAAAACATTTTTATTATGGTGAAGCATTTGTGTTATGGTGAAATAAGACAGCATTTGTGTTAGTTCATAGAAACTGAGTAAAACGGACCCAAATGTGTTGACACGTTGACAATTGTTGTTGTAACATCGGGTATGTCAAATTATTTTATTATTTAAAACCACAAATAAATTTGAACAAAATCAGTTGAGTTTGCTGATATAAAATAGGCGCTATAAAATTATATTTATTCTTTTCCTTGCGAAATTATTTCACCCGCCCGTTTTTATCACTGTCGCCGTGACAGTCGCATTGCGCCAGGTCAGGTTTTACAGTGGACCAGTTTCCAGTGCCGTGCAGAAGTGTATTTTAAAATAATTTTCGAATTGCCGTTTTTGATTTTTTTCTTTACAAAATTGTATTTGTTAGAGTCCCCTGTACATCCAGAATTTTTTTCTGAATCATCCTGTATAACCCTACAGTATTTTTGGAAAAACACATACATTTATCACTATTTTCAAAATCACATTGTAATGTCCGGTTCTTGCAACAGCTAATTATAATAGATCTGAAATCAATACATACCAGGCCTGTCGACGGGATGGACCGACAGGTAGAGGCCCTTGTTGGAGTCCGGAAATGCCACCCAAGTAGCGAGGCACGCGGTGAGGTTGAGGCCTAGCCACCCCGAGAAAGCCGCCGACGTGTTGAGGGCCGATACGTACTCTAACTCGCGTTCACTATAAAAAATAATATTTGTCTCTCAATCAGAAGTCGCTGATATGTGGTAGAAGTAACTTCGGTTTGGAAGCAGATGTAAAAAAAATTTAATTGGCTATGTCCATGGGCGTAGCCAGGGGGGCACGGCCATTCCCACTAAACACGAAACGTAAATGAAACGTTGCAAATGAGATGTTTTACTAAACATTTGAAACATTAACTAGAAACGTTTCTGTTTCATTACAGATGTAGCACTTGAAAACTTATTAATTAGTGAAACATAGCCGAAACGTTACAATTGAAGAGAGTTTGAAACATTACTCGAAACATTCCCTTTCGATCTCGGAAACATAACAGACGAACAACCCTTTGCTATTTTTGCTTATCTTATGGAACATTCGGCATTAGTTAAATTTTGCTCTCAATCCCCAATCCTTCTCAAGCGTTAGTTCATTTGCCTTTGTTATATAAAGACATAATTAGAAAAAAAAATATGGTAGCATATTTATAACACAAGTCTAGAAAAAATGTATGTTCGTGACTTGCGTAGACTGCGCGTAACAGCCCGAGTTTATTTGTTTCCCGTGTGTCGTTTCAATTCGTATTATGTTAGGTTAGGTTTGCGGTTTGTCAGTTTGCTTGGTTTCGTTGTTATTCATCTTTACTTTGACGCTATTTTATGTGATAATTTGTAGTGTGTGCAGTTGTGGTAATTGTAAGTGCATATAAAATAATGAATATTGATGCAAAATGTTTAAAACGATATGTGTAAAGAGATTTCCAATTTTGCGTCACATCTACCTAAACATAGTTATTTATACCCACTACCTATTATAGACAAGAGGACAAGGGACAAGAACTAAGAAAATGGAACATGGAACTAGGTATACGTTTCGATATAATTTGAAGAGCAACTACTTAGTCAGTGAGAACTATTTGAAATATGGATGAATTAAGTGAAATAGACGTCATTTATTTTATATTTTGTACAAATGTTTATATTTGTTTATGTGTATAGGCATGCTTAAATAAAAGAGTTTAGGTATACCTACAGATATTTACTTTATATAATTTTGTATTCTTATTTCTGCTGTATAATTTATTATTATTAAAAGGATATATGTAATATTGACCATGCGTAGAAGAAATTATAACTTTATATTATTTTTCAGTAATGTTATTTGTTTTTCATGTACCTACCATTTTAAGATTCATAATCATAACTAACTTTTTCTAATTATCAGTTCGTCATTGTTACCATATTCATGAAGGTCTCAACATTAGAAAATTTCCATTTCTGAAGCATATTTGAACTATATAAAATGTGTAGCTTTTTTTTAATGCTTCTGATATTGTTTTGTGATATTTTTATCTGTACGATGAATGGCAAAATTCATAATCCATATTAGAAACTTTTTTCAGTGGCTTCTCAAAAAAAAAAGAAATTCTTAGTAAAAGTTGCCGCATCACCAAACTAGAAGAGCATATTTATTTTTTTTAATATACAAGGTAACTTTTTTTAGTTCGAATTAAGTCATTCACAATACAAATAAAAATATCACAAAGGAGTATTAGAGATATTTAAAAAAATACTCGCACTATTTATACTATTTCAAAAACGCTTTTGAAATGAAAATGATCTAAAGTTGAGAGCATTATGAGAACAATATGGTAATAAAATTATTATGTTACTCAAACATTTCTGAAAATATACCGAAACGTAAAACAAAAATATCGAGGGCATAAATGGAACATAAAAAGAATGTTACTGAAACCAATTTTTTGAAACGTTTCATTGGAAACGTATTTTGGGGGGAACATCTTGGGCTTCTAGAACGTTACCAGAACGTTGCATGGATTTTTTATGAAACGTTTCAAGAAAAATGGAAACGTTTCTGGAACATGTCAGAAACTGAAAAATGTTCAGTGGGTTGTTGCTGCATGCTGCACAATATTATTACGCATTTTCTATCCAGTCAAAGCAAAAAGTACTTTTTGAAATTTTATGCCAATAAGTCGCTGATTGCGGAAAACTGTTTAGATTTTAATGTCTGTTTTTTTTTCCACTTCTGGTAAGAATCCTAGCTACGCCAAGGCTATGTCTCGTAGCCGTTGTGGCTGGCGCAATAAATACCTTGAGTGGATTAATATAAACTTATCTATCTATTACTTTTTTAAATATAATTTTGTAAAGACATATCTAGCTGTATAAGTACTTCACGAATTATTTTCCTATATTCCGTGGCTGGGTATAATTGTTTACTTCGTTGGAATACGTAAAATGACTGTCCTATATAGCGAAATTGTAAAATAATGCAAAATCAAAGAAGATACGATAACCTTGCCGCCTTTTATAAAACGTCTAGGCAATTTTTTTAGTCCTTCTACTACCTACTAAGTATGCACTTACCCGTTGTCGGTATTTATCAACTGATACACCGTCACGGTGTACCTGGCGTCTGGACTTTTTGCAGATTCGTCCGCGTTTTTGAAGATCTTCAATTCCGCACCGACAATATCCTCAGCTACCGGCATTTCCGACGTGTTGAACCATAGTCTTTTCCCTCTCTCGTGTCTTACACTACTCACGTGGTGGCCTGAAAAACGCATACGATTCTTTTGAATAACATACAGAGTGTGTCACTTAACATTCCCACTGACATTTAATTTTAAACTATAAGCCTTACTTATGTTTACAAATTAATTTAAAAAATCACAAGTCTGTAAAGGGAGGAAAGGGCACATTAATAAATTGGCAAGTTCTATTCCTGAGTTTTACTCCAGTCGAATTAGACCATAAAACGTAAAACCTTCAAAAAATTATTAGTTAATATCAAAAAAGTAACTCGAAAGAAGTGACGCTAAGTTGGAAAATTGCAAATAAGTAGCAAATTTACGTGTTTTTTTCACTTTTTTTTTACTGTCCACGAAAATCTAGACGGCCTATTGGAAAATTTGTCATTTTATATTATAGGCAATTAAATTATCTACAATTTAGGTCGGTTTTTTTTCAACTGTCGGATAAATTTAAATGTCAGTTAATTCTATGTCTGTCACTTTCTTATACATATATATTTTATGAAAAAGATATAGATTTAACTGGAAAATAAATTTATTAGGTGGATAAAAAATCAGTTTTCGAAAATTGCCCATTATTATTGCAAAAAACGATGGATGTTGATGAAATTTATGGAAAAGACGGTCAATTCAATGACCAACATGTGTGCCAAACGCAGATTCAAATGACCGTAACATAGCTGCTCCAATTATTTGTTAATTAATTGTTTTTTGCGACTAATTGTTTAATAAATAAACGTTAATTTTATAAGTTAATATCGTACATAGAGGTTATAATTAATCCAAAGAAACGTATCGATAAAGAACATTTCAAAAAGTTGAATTTAAGTTGCCCTAACTAACAAAGTAGGTTGTGCAAAACAGCGTTATAAACAAATTGTCAGGCAAAAGCCGCTCGGGAATTCGCTCCTTTTGCATTAAATAAAGCTTATTTTTACGATATTTCCGCGTTCAAGTTTTATTTTACAGTTAACAAATTGTTGAAATACGACTTTAGATACCTTAAATTGTAGGTAATTTAATTGCCTACAACATAAAATGAATTAATTAAATTTGCCACTTATTTACAATTTGCCAACTTAGCGTCACTTTTTTCGAATAACTTTTTTTGATATTATATTTATCATTCGTCATATCTTACCAGTCATAAAGCGTAATAAAATGTATACTAATAATTTTTTAAGTATTTAATAATAATTAATAATTTAAGTATGTAATATTTTTCCCGAAAATTTGGAGTTTTAAATATTTTAAGTTCCGAAGCTTTAATTAAAAATTTTTGAAATAGATCCTACCTATAAAATAATATTAATTAATATTTCTTTCTTCAATTAATTCGCTTTTAAAATGACAAAATCATAAAATTCTACCCACTGCAATCAAAACTTTGAACTAGTTTAATACATTTGAAATAAAGCAAAAATATAGATTAGTCAAAAATAAGTACTGATGACTATAGCTAATAATTTTCTGCCGAATAACACAGGATATATTGTTTTTTCAAAGAACCTTATTCTTCTCGGCTATATATTTTTTCGCATACTCTTATTCGGCGGGACTTTTTATACACGTCTACATTTTGTTTTCCATCGAAATATCTTAATAGCAGGAAATAAATATCAATGAAAATATAATTATTACAAAAAACATATTTTAATGGGTCACTTTGTAGCAGGAAGTACTAGCATATTATTTTTATAATTAGTCATAAATTTAGTTATAAATTTGAATTTCTAAGTAGCATAGCAAGTCAAATGAATTAAATCGATATTGGTATGCATAAAATGAATATTGGAATTTCCATAGAATATCTAAATCGACGCAGTTTCACGTGCTAACCTAAACAAAAACAAACAGGCCTAAAATAGAGAGATTTATGCAACAAATCAAGAACATTCAGGTCAAAACTGGTAGCAAAAGAGGAATAATACAGGACTAGTACGTAGGTATTGTAATCAGTTTATCTTTGCGACGAAAATGTTTTAAAATTGACAATATTTAAAAAGGTTGTGCAATTTCTAACATATTTTAAAGAATTTCTTATTTCATATTAAACCTATTATTTTTTAATGCGCATAATGGAATGGAAGATTAACAGTTCAGAGATTTACAGAACTGTCTATTATAAAAAAATACGCCGCCGCTAAACAAGAAAAATCTAATTGCTGCCGAACTTACCTATGCTCTCAAAAGTCATAATAACGTCGCTCTGATCGATCTGTTGCTGTTCTTCGCCGCTAAAACTCAGATCCGCGCTGCGCTTCGCCCTGTTATTCTCGTCGTTCTCGTCCTCCATGAGGCTCCTGTATATATCCAGGAGGAACCTAGGCGCGGACTTCTTCAGCGGGCTCCTGATGATCTTCCTGGGCCTGTTCGGCAGTCCCAACAGGTTCAGGATCTCCAGCTCCATCTCCTTCTTCTCGGCCTGGGTCATGAGTCGGTCTATGGCCGTCTGATCGTATCCATTGTCGATGTAGATAGCCGCCTTGGGAGTGGAAGAAACCACGCAAACTTTCAGCAGAGCCGCACACAACACCGCGGTTATCACAGAAGGCATATTTGTACTGTTAGTCGTTTGTTTGTTAGTGTTGACGAGTTAATTGGCAACGCCAACGCCGCTATGTTTCGTGTAAAATTGTGGACGCGACGGGACGGACCTCGCTACATTCTCTCGGCTTGCGGGCAGGTATTTGAACAGGTTGGTAGATGGAAACGGGTATGCGGCCCCCACCTTCCCTGTTTACCTAAGGTTAGGTAAGAGGTAGCCCAAGTTAGAGGTATTTATAAGGAATTCGACGTAAGACATTTCGTATTTTTGGCGCTTTTAGGCGGGTATCTACCGGAATTTAAAAATGTGGCTTGCGGAGGGGGGATGTCAACAGGTCACAGTTGTTTTTTTAAAGAGGGATTTAAAATGTCTGTTAGCACACCTTCAGTCGGTTTTTGTTCATTGTTCTTCATAAAACTTCCTGCAATTGTATTTTTGAAATCTGCGGAAAATTTCATTTCAAACGTCATAAATAATTGGATTTATAGAAAAACATGTACATATAAGTCAAACGAATAGTTACATATAATTATGTATAGCCATATCAGTCACTAAATACTAAATTTACTCATATTATGTGTATAACTTTTAAGAGTATACACATATGAGTAAGAGGATTTTATTCTATTTTTTGTCATCAGTAGCGGCAGAGTACGCCATCTATAGCTGGTGTGGCAAACGACACACTCAGAAACCACATATCATAGAATAATAATTAAGGAAACTGCATGGAAAGAGCTCTATTTCTATTCTCTAATAGATACCAAAAGAGGCGCCGCTGTAACGCGACTTGGCGGGAAGTAAAGAGTTATCAATCTATAAATCTATTTTACTATTATAAACTAAACAATGCTTTTACTAATCTGTGGTATTTATTACCAGAGAAACCCGAACTACATGACCTTCGAATTCAACCAGACTATATTCTTTGAATATTTGCAATATACTTTTTAAAATATTACATTACCGGCAATGAGAATCCCAAAATAAAAACAGGAAATCTATAAAATATTTTTATTTGGTAGAATTTATCTAAATTATCTGACAAAAAGTAATCATATGATAATGTAGTTTATAGACAAAAATATGTTCACAGAAGCTAAAAAAAACATGAAAACCAAAATTTTAGGAATTACAATATGAAACCAGCTATTTTTAAATTTTAAAGAAATAATTGATTTCATTCTCGTCTTGGCTCTCCATTTTTAAATGCTTAGCACAAGCAATCAGGACCCAAACATAAAATTTAGTATCTTTTGCCAAACATTTTTTAACATAAATCTATTTACTTTTCAAATGTGTGATCCTACACGTCAAATTATCGCAATCGCAGTTTCAAAAAGAAGTCCTTTATTTACACTGCACATGAGAAAGGTTTTTATATAAAATTCACCTGAATGTGATGTTGGCTTTACAAAAACTATTTTATTAGAAACTCGGGAAATATTTATTGAAACGTATAACTCTATAACTCCTTTCATCGAACAATTAACATCCTAGTAATAAACAAAATCACTTAACATACTTTTCCATAAATTTTTTATGAAAGTCTGATCTCAACGAATCATTAATAAACACATTGGTCTTCTTCTCGGGTTCCGATTTAGCACAGTTCTTAAACACAACATCGTCATCCCATCTCCTTTTAACTTTATGGTCACTTTTCGCAGACCCCGACGAATAATGTGTAAGCAACGGGTTGCCGCTTAAGATATTTTCCATTCTTATCCTTTCTTCCTCTTGTCGTCTTTCGATTTCCTTTTTTGCTTGATCCATCGCTCGTTCTTTCTTGATCTTATTTAATTCGGCTAGAAGAGCTTCGGTGTCGTCCTCGTCGTCGCTGGATTCTGAGTCTTCTTCGTCCAGGGGATCATCCGCGTCCAAACTTGCAGCAGGTACTTGATCGAGCTTGAGCTTCTTGTAATGGTCTGCGGTCCTGGTTGCAGGTCTTTTATCTCTCTCGCGTTCTTCTAATTCCCTTCTGAAATCTCTGGTTCTAGTTTCGTCGACAGTTCCTTGACCTGGTTCCCTACAAGATACAACAGTTTGTAAAAAAAACAGGAACGTAAATATAACGTGAAACTAACCTATATTTTAATTTCGTGTGCCCTGGCAAATCTCTGCTGGAATATTGTCTGGAGATGGCACTCAAGTCTTTTTCGTTTCTTCCTTGGCCCCCTCGGGCTGGTTCGAAGGTTGGACGGGCCGCTGTGGTCATTTTTGTTCAATTATCAAAATATCGAACTACACGGAATTGATAGAATTTTGACATTTCGTCATAGACAGTGCTGCCAACAGAACAGAACAAAAAACTTAATTTGCTTTCCCAGAATTTAAACTTTAACATTTTGTCATGTGTTGGCGTAGGTTTCTCTGTGCATATAACCTACAAAGTAGGTTAGTATACCATTGCTTGACAATTTTTAAAAATATTTCATCTTTCAGATCGACTTGTAGGCAACCTGGGTGCAACCCATAAGAGTAAATAAATAAGAGAATTTATTGGATAGGGCGGACGGATCATGCATTCACTGAGGCCATCTCGCGTTGGTGCAGCAAAACATTGTCCTTTATAGAAATTGGTAAACAGAAATCTGCAACCACAGATCGAATTCTGGTATAACTAATTTTGTTACAAGTCACTTGCAGTTGCAATATTTGTGTGTAAACGTGTACCGTTTAATGTTAAGTTAGAAACACAATTTTAAACAAATGAAACATGAAAATGTAATCAAAATAACAAATGTTTGGATAAAGGGACAAGAAATAAAAACAACGTTGCAGGTATTAAATACTCGATATATTTTTTTCATACAATAAAGTAAAAATTAAATAACACAGTTGTACAAATAATCTTACATAGTGCATAATTGAATTATACAAAAATATACAGTTAATACATACATCCTTAATATAAAATAAACGATACAACCGATCAACTGTCATGAGGTAAAACAATGGAAAAATATAACACGACTGATTATTAACTTAATAAAACGACTTTATTTGGCAAATTATAATTTAATGGAATTAGCTTAAAATGTAAAACTAGAATTTGACTAACGATGACTACATAAATTTCATTTTTATTTCATAGTGTCTCACAGCCCACACAACATTTAGGACATTCATATCTCAATAATAACGCGTAATCTTCCTGCACTACTCCCGTTTAAAAAAAAATTTTTATTTCTTAAAACAAATGAAAAAATAAAATATATTTAATCACTAAATAACAAATTATAAGGTATTGCCCGCTTTAAGAACGTCCACAGTACGGATTCGAGTAAAAAAAATAGATAAGAACTTTTTTGCATTTTACTGCTAGTATTAGCAAGTCCACTAGGTACTTCGTATAATCTACGAACACTAGTAATACGAATATCGTGTCATTTCTTGGCCAATTAAAGTGCCCGATACAAGTTCCCGATATTATCGCCACAAACATAAAACTGCGGCAATGATAAGGATTAACTACGTCAATAAATTACTATCTAGAAAAGCAGTGCAAAAGGATTACGTCGAGTAATTAAACGAAATTAAACTTTGAAGGATACACGGTAAGAACAATTTACTTCGATATACAATCAATTTAAAATATTTGCTACTTCTAATACTTTCATTACCTAGTCAGTTAAAAAGAAAATTTGCTATTGCTACCGAAAAGCAAATAGAACGGCTTTAATCCTGACATCGTACTAAGTTATGATGCCGTAAGGCAGCTACCGAGAGGATTTGTGTCTTGCCGCCACCAGTAAATGTCGATTTCGGTAAGTATTCGGGGCGATTCACGTAATAAAACTTCACGGCTCGATATTTGGAAACGGAAAGATTTTTTGATTCTGTGAAAGTCAGTTGGTAGAATCGCTAGATGGCACAAATTAGAACTTCAAATGGAATATTTTCAAAATAGTTTGTAGATGGCGCTTTGTCTCAACATCGTTACTTGGCAAGTGTCACTGTTGTGACATTTTGAAATATTAACTTTTGATCGTTATATTAGAAGACTAGAAAATTTGTTTTACATTTGATAAAAACTTTCTAAAAATTCAATCTCGTATTTCAAGTGTGGATGTGACCTACAATTGCCTCCCAATGCCTACTGGCACAAATAACTACTTTGTACCTACTGGTGTAGGTCGCTCTGTAAGATAAAACCTACAAAGTAAGTCATATGTCAAATGTCATTGCTATTCAATGCCTACTGTCAAAAAACGTTATTTTGTACCTACTCCTGTAGGTTGCTCTATGAGATATAACCTACAAAGTATACATTATGTTAAATGTGCGAAATAAACTTGGGATACTTGTCAATCTAGAGACTTTGTCTTTCGACTTCAGCCCCATTTATAAAAACCCAAAAAATCTCTTTCCAACACATCGGACCGGTGATTTTTACGCGAACCACCCTGCATTTCTAAATATTTTTGCAGAGGCAACTGTCTGGGTAGTTTCCAGATCTATGGCAGTGGATATCGGCGACATACAACTAACGACTTTTTCTCAATCGCCTTCCGTCCCGGAAACTTAAAACGATGAGTTGAAAACCGTAAACGACGACAATCGGCGACCACTCCTCCCCTCGGCGCGTCCGGACAGTAGTAACAATAAAAATATCCTAGGACAAAATTGAGCCGAGCCAGTCTTGAATTTTGAGAATTTATAAAAGTATAAAAGTCGTATCGTAGATTAAGGCTTCCTCGAGTACGTCCACCATTTTAGAAGAAACAAATTTTTATGTCACGCCTCCGCGAACCGCGTCATCTGACCAAAGTAAAACAGAGAACTTTACCCAAAGTCGAGACTGCGTCACGTGTAATAAATTGAACTACTACAATAACAACATCCAGATGAGAAGACTTCCCTAACGGATACCGAGTCGAAAATGAATAAATATAATTTATAAATTACATAACAGACCTCTAAAATATCAAAACAAAAATACAAATTCAAATTGGCTAGTGCGACGAATCGGACACTATCTACAAGGTCAATTGACTTTTTTGTCCTACCGTTTCAGATCCTAATACCCCTCCCCTTGGCCGGGTTATGCCATGCTGGAGTTCTGCGAGGCGCCCGTCACGGCGCTGAACAGCGCCATGCTGTTGCGTTTGAAACTGCCGGTGTCGTCGTGGGGCCACAGGGACTCCCCGAAGATGCTCGACAGGGAGGAGCACAGCTTCTTGTAGTTCTGCCGGAGCACCTCCTGGTACTCCTGCTGGTCCTGGGCGATCAACTTGCCGTTTATTTGCAGCGCCGAATAACAGATCTTTAAGAACTCCCTAAAATGGTGAGGTCGCGTTTTAAACTGGAAATTCTTAACTGAAAGCGTGGTTAGGTACGTTTCGATAATAAAGATCGTTCTTGAGATTTTAAAGTTTTTAAAAAATATCGATTAAAGCGTGGGCTGCTGATTTAACTAAGTTATGGTAAATTCATAGAAAGGTACACAATTTTATCACAAAGGTGCAATTCCGTGTGCCTCCGTTAAATTTTAATCTTGAACGGATCCATACACACCCAACATTTATTGAGAGAACTTAAAACGTGAAAATAATAATCCTCCTTCCCACTTATACGCTTATGACAAGCACTGTCACAGGATTTCCAAAAAATTACTTAATCAGTGGAAGAATTATAGTCCAACCAATTTACACTTGGAGAAAAAAAAAATTCTTACCTGGACTTTTATAAGTGGAAATGGTAAAAGGGCTTATAATAAACCAAAAAAAATGAATGCGTGAGCAGCGGCGGCGCAGGGTTGATTCCCCCAAATCAATCAATAGAAAAGTTATGAAAAATTGTATTATTGGGATTTCTGGCGAAAGTCAAACAAAAAAGTATCCAATACAAAAGTTGTAGATCATGCAAAAATCTACAACTTTTGTAGAGGTCACTTTTAACATAACCTCAAAATTTCCAGAAAATGCGAAAAACAGGTTTTTTTCTGATTTTTTGTTTTTTATTTCTCATATCCGCAAAAATAATTTAATTTTGACGAAACTTGGCGAAAGTATACCTTTCTCTGTCTTAAATAACCTCAAATTTTTTTAGATAAAAAAGTCAAGAAGTTTCTGAGATATTCATTTTTTTCGGCCTGAAACACTTTTTTTTCAAAGAAAAATTCTACTTAAAAAAATCATCGTACAGAGTTCTGCCGGTAATCATTTTTTTCGTTTTGACATACTTTTTGGTGAAATAAAAAAATCTGTAATAACATTTCAAAAACATGCTCAAAAATGCAAAAAAATAAAAAATGTCTTGCAACAATGAATTTTTCATTTATTGTTGATAATTTGTTTAAATTAAAAAACATTCAAAAACTGATTACACCATTCAATTCTACGGGAAAAAATAAAAAAAAAACTGTCTCATTGTTTGACTCAAAACTTTATTTTTGTACAGTATTGCTATAAACATCCAAGTTGAATTATAAATGCACAAATGATAAATTATCTCAGGATGATTTGAGAAATTAAAAATGATTAGATTTTGTCATAAAAATAGCAGCGACGTATTTAAAAAAATTAACCCGATGATGGCCCCTCGAAGACGAAACGTCGATTTGCAAAAATGTTGACGCCATTGTATAGAGCGAAAAAAGTGGCATTGTAAATATGTAATTTATTTTAAAATTCGTTTCCAAATAAAGCCAGAAAAAATTAAACAATTTTGCAAAATTTCCTTTTTTTTCGGATATCTCCGGAACTACCCTGAATTTTAAAACTTTCTAAACAGCATATTGTTAGGTATAAAAAAACACAACTTTTTTCTAATCTGAGCCACCTCGTATCTTTTACCGTTTCCTAAATCCTAATGCTATCCCATCCTTATCTTGGACTCACTGTATATCTATGAATTCATCAAACTTTAAAAAAAATAAGTACACTAATCGATCCTAGGGAAAAAAATTATTATTTATTTTCTTTATTTACTATTCGACTTATGTTTATAGCAATACTGTATAAAAATAGCTTTGGGTCAAATGACAGTTTTTTTTAAATTTTTTCCGTAGAATTGAATGGTGTAATCAGTTTTTGAATGTTTTTTAATTTAAACAAATTATCAACAATTACTGAAAAATTCATTGCTGCAAGTAATTTTTTACTTTTTTGCATTTTTGAGCATGTTTTTGAACTGTTATTACAAATTCTTTTATTTCACCAAAGAGTATATATCAAAACGAAAAAAATGATTACCCGCAGAACTCTGTACGATGATTTTTTTAAGTAGAATTTTTCTTTGAAAAAAAAGTGTTTCGGGCCGAAAAAAGTGAATATCTCAGAAACTTCTTGATTTTTTTATCTAAAAAAATTTGAGGTTATTTAAGACAGAGAAAGGTATACTTTCACTAAGTTTCCTCAAAATTAAATTATTTTTGCGGAAATGAAAAATAAAAAACGAAAAATCAGAAAAAAAACCTGTTTTTTGCATTTTTCTCAGAAATTTTGAGGTTATATTAAAAAGTGACCTCTACAAAAGTTGTAGATTTTTGCATGATCTACAACTTTTGTACTAGAAACTTTTTTGTTTGACGTCAACTTTTGCCAGAAATCCCAATGATACAATTTTTCATAACTTTTCAACCCCCCAAATAAACCCTCCGCCGCCCCTGCTCACGCATTTATTTTTTTTTCGTTTATCATAAGCCCCTTTACCATTTCCACCTATAAAAGTCCAGGTAACAATTTTCTTTTTTTTCCCCTCTAAATGAGTTATTTTGATCGGTCTATTAGTAAAATCTGCGGCTTGATTGATCTGTCACTATTTTGACGCCGAACGTTAAATATTTCCAGATATTTGCGATACGTCTAAAATATTTTAACACCCTTAAACACTCCCATTAGTATCGGAACGCACATAACGACAACCCCATCCATTATCATTACCTGTAGATGTCCTTCAGTTCCTCCACCTTCTCCTCCGGGTACATATTGCTGAGCGCCGGATCCAAAAACACCGACGCGTACGCCAAAGGCCCCGCATTGACCTGAACGCACACGCTGCCCTGGAGCCTCAACTGCAGCTTCTTCGCGTCGGTCGGCTGCGTAAACACCACGTCCTCCAGTTCTGCCACCCTCACCTGCATCTCGTCTATCGCCACCTCGATAGGACTCAGCTCCGTCCGCCTCCTGGATTCCACTACGATTCTCTTTTTCACGTAAGGGAACGAGTAAACCGCTGGAAAAAAAAATAATTGTGTGATTTATTAAACATCCGTCGTTAGTTAATTTACTCGTTAAAATGGTCCGTCGCTTCCACTGCTCCTCGGGGTTCCCCCTGGCCTTGCCGTCTTTTGTGAAGGGAGTCTCGTACATGAAGCAGTTAATGTCATGGTTCTGCTCGAATTCCGTCTGTCTGTCTTCCAATTCGCTCTTCTCGAAGTAGGGAGTGACGTGGGTGACTTGGATGTAAGCGAGCTTCGGGTCCAACTCTTTCTGATTCACCGGCGTCGAATCCTGAATCATCTTCACCACGTCCTGCCCGAACTTGTCGCAGTACTGCTTGTACAGCCTCTCGGAGATTTCGCTCAGGGAGGTCACTTTGGGTTCCTTATAAACGTACTCCACACCGCTGTCCTCCTCGAAATACGCCTGTCCGTAGAAACCGACCCGGTAATACCGCCCCAGCAGTCTCTTCCCGCTCTTGTTATAGTCGACGATCTTGTCGTAGTTCTGGGCCAGGTTCTGGTAGGACTTCCTCAACATCTCGTAGTTCCTCTTCTTCTCGTAGATCGGTATGATGAGTTTGTACAGTTCGCCGAGGATCTCGTACCGTTCGGCCTTATCGAGGAATTCCGCGCACGTCTCCAGCTGCTCCAGCAGGATGAATTCGGTGTATTGGATGTCTTGGACGCCGGCATCAAGTTTCAGGCCCTTCTCGTCCTTGGAGATGTTGGAGGATATCTTTTCGAAGGATTCCGCGCCCCAGGACTGGATCGTTTTCAGTTTCAGGTACTCGGCCATCAGGGCGGCTATGTGCAGCTGGCAGCAGGCGGCCTGAAAAGCGAAACGTGGAAATATGCTAATCTGAAAGTTATATTTCAATCGTTTCAATTCAAAGTAGGAATAGCTTTGAATTCTCTAAATTTGCAAATTATTTATAAAAAAATTGTAAAAGAGTCGTATACTCTTAAAAATTAATAAAATGGCATTTAGTATTTGTGAAATATGCGTTTTTACGAGTGGTATAATTATTTCCGTCGAACAACTGCTGTTCCCAAACGTTTATTTTTTACTCACCTCCGAATAGTTCCCGTCCCTCACGTGATTCCTAGTCATCGTTTCCAGCCAAGTATGCCTCAGTTCCGGTGTCGAAGCGTAAGAATTGGCCAGGCTGTGTTGTAAATCGACGAGCATCTCCGGATCGTGGTGATGCTCCCTCATCTGGATGGTCGCCATGAGGACGGTGCGTACGCGCTTCGTCAAATCTTTCACCTCGACGGGAAATCCTAAAAGTGAAAAACAAACGGATAAATACCATCCTCCAATCGTATAACGTCTCGAATAAAAAGATTGACGTTATTACCCGTTCCCTTCATGACTTTATCGCTGGACGCGTAGCTGTTGATTAAGGACAGGCTCTCTTGGAATCTCGCGTTGTTCAGTCCCACTATGTTCCCCAGCATCTGCGAAACGGATATGATGACCTGGAGGTGCACCCTCGTCAGGCCCTTCCGACTGGTGAATTCGAAGTTGCTCCGCATCAACAGGTAGAGGATCGCGCAGGATTCCTGCCGGATCGTGGCCAACCTGCTGTTGCAGCACTTGAGGAGTTCGTAGCACAGTCTACCGCATAATATGGCGTTTCCTGTAAAAAAATCAGTATATTTTTGACACCAACTAAATTTTTTCGGTGTTTATAAAGTTACGAGCATTTTTTTTAGCAGGACGTAGAAATCATAAAATACACGATATTTGGTAAAATCATGAAAAAATGTTAATTTAGTCACCAAATTTTATATGTATTGTACATAATGAAAAATAATTTTTTTTTAAAAGCACTGCGTTTAGTTTATGAATCTCTGTATCAATTACCTACAAAATAACTCAATTTTTGGAAAAACTATCAAATACTTTGCAATTTTATAAAAATGCACTTATTCTACTTGCCAAGGACTACATATTCTAAAAGTTAAGTTTTTTCATTTTAAAGATATAGAAGTTTTATAAAAATGCAATTTTTAGCAATTTTTTTTGCAATAACTAATACATTTTTTATCAATTGACATCGGGCTCGGCTCAAAATTTTTGTTGTAAAAAATTCTAAGATTCTAAAACATTTTTTTCTACGTTTGCCAACTATGGACACCATTTTGAAAATAAAGCCCTAACATTCAGCTGGGGTAAAGTAGTTCATTCGATTCTACGGAATTTTTCCTAATTTTTATGTGTCTTTATTTACCGAACTAAATTTTGACACGTAAAAATCTAATGCGTGCGATAAATAGCATTTTCCTTGGTGACAGTTTTTTGTTCTCTGCATTTTGAAACAATCGCATACATTTTTAAAAACAATATACTTGTAGACACATTTCTAATTTATAGGGAATGTTGACAAAGTGCAGCGGCAGCATATCGTTCACACATGGAAAGATTATGACTTTTTCCTGTATCCTGTAATTACTTACCTTGGAACAAAACTGAAGAATAGTTATTAATAAAGGCCCTCAAGGCGGCGAAAACGTGCTTGAATAACTTTTCGCTCTGTCCGATTTGAATAAAACTCAAATAAATGTCAAAAATTTTCTTCATAACCTCGTTCTCCCCATCGGCGCTGAGTAGATTTTTTCGGAAGTGCATACAGTACAAGCCCATGCAGTCCAGGGTAATCAGGCCTATCTCGGACGCCAGGTGTTGCTCCAGGATGGCCTGCTGTTTCTTGTGCACCTCGTTTTCTAAAAAAAAACATGAAGGCTGATTCGATTTACCGTGAAATTGTTGCCCCAGATATTTGATAATTAATTTTGTTTGTTGATGTCTATTAAATGCAAAAAGAGTGAATTGGCGAGCGGCTTTTGCCTGACCTTGGGACAATTTGTTTATAACACTGAATTTTTTCAAGTTTTCAGGTCTTATGATCTAATTCGACTGGAGTATATATCATTATTTTATGTTCACAAAATATAATATAATTACGCCACATTTTCTCACCTGAACTGACTAAATTCTCCCTATTGGTGTGAATAACCAAAGTGCTGCTATTCTCGTGGTTAATCTCCGAAGGATTCATTCTGGCGGGCAGTGTATGCGCCTTTTTCGACTTGGTCCTCAGATTCTCCCCTTCGGAAGTCTTCACCACGCTGACGTTCCTCTTCCCGGAATATTTGAAGCAGTAGAGGCACATCTCCAATACGCTGAAAAAGTTAACGACGTCCGTCTCACTGTAGTTTTGCCACCACATCAGCAACTGTTCCTCGTTCAGGTACTTGACGACAAACAGGAAGATTAGGAGCACATCTTTGACCTCCTGGGGTTGGAGTTTGTCGTATCGCTGGATGTGGGAGGTCGTCCTCGTGTGAGATTTTGAGTCGTCGTTTCTCAGACTCTCGTCTCTCACTATGGTGGTGTCTTGGGATATCGTGGATTGTGCATCGCCGGACATCGTGGAGATGTCCGACTCTATGCTCAGGGAATTGCCGTTGACGAGAGCTGTAAAATAAAAAAAAATTTTATTTCTGGCTATGCCAACACGATTTCGAGTTTAAACACAAAATTTCAAGGTCAATGCAAAAATTTCCTATTTAAACTTAAAATTTTGAATTAAATCCCAAAATTTTGAATCAGTCTCGAAATTTTCTGTTCAAATTAAAGGTTAAACTAGAAATTTTAAGGTTACACTCAAAATTTGAGTTGAAACTTTAAAAACAATTCAAACTTACAACTTTATTTTCAAAGTGAAAATTTCACATTTAATTTTGAGTTTAAAAATGATAAACATTAACTTTAAATAATTCAAACTTGAAATTTTATCTTTAAACTATAAATTTCGTGTTCACATTGAAAATTTCAAAATTTAAAATTTTTAATTCTGACTAAAATTTTCATTTCAAATTGAAGTTCAAATTTTTGAGTTGAAACTGGCAATTTAATGTTTCAAAGTTGAAATTTCGAGACAAACTCAAAATTTCAAGGTGAACTTGAAATTTCCTTTTTAAACTTTAAAATTTTGAATTCAAACTGAAAATTTCCTGATCAAATTAATGTTGAAATATGAAAATTCGAAGTCAAATTCAAAATTTGGGTTGAATTTTGAAATTTAATGATTCAAACCCAAAATTTCGTGTTCACATTTAAAATTTCAAATTAAATGTTAAAATTTAGTATTCAAACTGGAAATTTGAAGCTGAAATTCAAAATTTGCAATTTTTAATCCAAACTAAGATTTCAATTTCAAATTGATGTTCAAATTTTCGAGTTGAAACTAGCAATTTGATGTTTTGAAGTCAAAATTTTGAGGCAAACTCAAAATTTCAAGGTCAATTTGAAATTTCCTTTTTAAACTTTAAAATTTTGAATTCAAACTCAACATTTCCTGATCAAATTAATGTTGAAATATGAAATTTCGAAGTCAAATTGTAAATTTCAGTTGAAATTTGAAATTTAATGACTCAAACTCAAAATTTCGTGTTCACATTGAAAATTTCAAATTCAATCTCAAAATTTAGTATTCAAACAGGAAATTTCAACCTGAAATTCAAAATTTAGAATTTTTAATTCAGATAAAAATTTCCATTTCAGATTGAAGTTCAAATTTTCGAGTTGAAATTAGCAATTAATGTTGCAAAGTCGAAATTTTGAGACAAACTCAACATTTCAATGTCAAACTTCAAATTTCCTTTCTAAACTTTAAAAGTTTTAATTCAAACTCAAAATTTCCTGATCAAATCAACGTTTAAACATGAAATTTCAAAATCAAATTCAAAATTTGAGTTGAAATTTGATTCAAACCCAAAATTTCAAGTTCAATCTCAAAATTTTGAATTTGATTTCGAAATTTCATGTTTGAACATTAATTTGATCAGGAAATTTTTAGTTTGAGTTTTCAAAATTTCCTGATCAAATTAATGTTCAAACATGAAATTGCGAAATCAAATTCAAAATTTGAGTTGAAATTTGATTCAAACCCAAAATTTCAAGTTCAATCTCAAAATTTTGAATTTGATTTCGAAATTGCATGTATGAACATTAATTTGATCAGAAAATTTTGAGTTTGCATCATTAAATTTCAACTTTCAACTCAAATTTTGAATTTGATTTCAAAATTTCATGTTTGAACATTAATTTGATCAGGAAATTTTGAGTTTGAGTTCCCAAAATATCCTGATCAAATTATTGTTCAAACATGAAATTTCGAAATCAAATTCAAAATTTGAGTTGAAATTTGATTCAAACCCAAAATTTCAAGTTCAATCTCAAAATTTTGAATTTGATTTCGAAATTGCATGTTTGAACATTAATTTGATCAGGAAATTTTGAGTTTGCATCATTAAATTTCAACTTTGAACTCAAATTTTGAATTTGATTTCAAAATTTCATGTTTGAACATTAATTTGATCAGGAAATTTTGAGTTTTAATTCAAAATTTCAAGTTCAATCTCAAAATTTTGAATTAAAACACGACTTTCCTCTTCAAATGCAAATTTAAACTGGAAATGAGTGTTTTAAATTTAAAACTTGTAATTCAAACTTGAAATCTCCAGCAAATCCAATTCAATTCGGTACTTACACTGTCCCGCGATGGCCTCGAAGAAGGCGGAGTTCCTGATGTGCATCGGGCTGTCCTTGTCTATGTGCAAGGTAAATCTGTGGCTTCTCGGCGTGCAATCACTGGCGGTAGAACTCTTCCCGAACAAGTAAGAACTGCTCGAGGAGATCCTGTTAATAATACTGTCATTGCCTTCGTCTTCGTTCCCCCCTTTGACGTCCAACCGGTTTAAATTCTCCAAAACGATACTCAACCAGGGAAGGTAGATCAGCGATATGCGATGCATCTGACCCTTGCTCTGGTACCTGTCGTCCATCTCGTGCTTGGCTATGAGGTTCTTGAGGGTGTTCAAGGCGATTTTTCTGATGTGCGTCACCTCGTTCAGCGACGTCTTTATTTCCTGTAAGAGTAAACCGACGATGAAGTGGTGCTTGCAGAACTCCTCGGACAGGGTGAATTCCTGGAAACTGTCGGGCGATTTGTTCCTAGGGCTGAGCTTGGTATGTTGTATGGGTAAATTGAGAGAAATGTAGTGTTCGTGGCTGCAGATGATCTCCAGGAAGCTAAATTTGTACTCCTGCAGCAGTCTCGGATCGCCCGGGTTGAACTTGTCCATATAGTTGTTGATGAGTTTGAAGACGAAGCCGCGGTCGATTAAAGATAAACATTTCTAAAAAAAAAAATACATCGAAAATAGTCTCTGGCGTAAGGCTATCATTTAAAATTGTATTACCTTTAAAAAATAAGCCAAACTTTTGTTTAGTTCTTTCGTTTCGAGTGGTATTTCCTTGTATTTGTTTAGAATGTAAGGTGTAAGTACTTGCAACAAATTTTCTATCCTGTTCAAATATTCCGAGGAAAAGCGTTCATGTCGGTGCATCTACAAAATTAGAACAAGTGCACGTCTTACAACTTTTACTTATTTGCATTTTTAGACTAATAAAAAAAGCATAGAAAGACCATATATTATTTTTTTTGCTTGTCAAATTTCAAGTTTAATTAAATTCAAAAATTTTGATGTCAAGCAAGAAATTTTTTTTTCGAATTTGAAATTTTTTGTTAGATTTCAACTTTCAACTTCAGACTAGAAATTTAGCATAATTTCAAGGCCAAACTCACAAATTTCAATTTCAAACATAAAATTTCAACATTTGAATTCGAAATTTTGCGATTATATTCAAAATTCTAAATTCAATCTCAAATTTTTTAATTCAAACTCAAAATTTGCTCTCCAAAGCGAAGTTTAAACTTGCAATTTTGTATTAATTGAAAATCTAGAGCTGAAACTAGAAATTTAATGTTTCAAACTGAAAATTTTGAGGTCAAACTAAGATTTCCATTTCAAGTTTTGTATTTCAAGATTGTACTCAAAATTTTGAGTTCAATTTTCAAATTTCGAACTCAAAATCAAAATTTCCTGTTCGAACTGGAAATTTCAAGTTCAAATTCAGTTTTCTATCCCAAAAATTTGAATTCAAACTCAAAATCTGTCTAAATTTAAAATTTTGTTATTTTAATTCAAAACAAATTTCATGTTCAAGTCCGAAATTTTGTGATTGTATTCAAAATTACAAGTTCAATCTCAAATTGTCTAATTCAAACTCAAAATTTCCTGCCCAAATTGGAATACAAACTTGCAATTTCCTATAGATTCAAAATTTTGATTGAAACAAAAATTTAATATTTCAAACTGAAACTTTTGAGGTCAAACTAGGATTTCCGGTTCAAGTTTTATATTTCAAAATTATACTCAAAATTTTGAATTCAATTTTCAAATTTTGAAGTCAAAATCAAAATTTCCTGTTCGAACTCGAAATTTCAAGTTCAAATTCAAAATTTTACGATTGTATTTAAAATTCCAAGTTCAATCTCAAATTGTCTAATTCAAACTCAAAATTTCCTGTCCAATTCGGAATTCAAAATTGCAATTTTCTAAATTCAAAATTTCGAGTTGAAACTAGAAATTTAATGTTTCAAACTGAAAATTTTGAGGTCAAACTGGGATTTCCGCTTCAAGTTTCGTATTTCAAGATTGTACTCAAAATTTTGAGTTCATTTTTCAAATTTCTAATTCACTTATAATTTCTTGTTCGAACTGGAAATTTCAAGTTCAAATACAAAATTCTGTCTCAAAAGTTTGAATTCAAACTCAAAATCTTCTGTTTAGATTTTAAATTTTGTGATTTTTTAATTCAAAATTAAAATTTCAAACTCGAATTTCATGTTCAAATTCGAAACTATGCGATTGTATTCAAAATTCCAAGTTCAATCTCAAATTGTCTAATTCAAACTCAAAATTTCTTGTCCAAATCGATATTCAAAACTGCAATTTTGTATAAATTCAAAATTTCGAGTTGAAACTAGAAATTCAATGTTTCAAACTGAAAATTTTGAGGTCAAATTGGGATTTCCGTTTCAAGTTTCGTATTTCAAGATTGTACTCAAAATTTTGAGTTCAATTTTCAAACTTCGAACCCAAACTTAAAATTTCTTGTTCGAACTGGAAATTTCAATAAAGTTCAAATACAAAATTTTGTCTCAAAAATTCGAATTCAAACTCAAAATCTTCTGTTTAAATTGTAAATTTTGATTTTTTAATTCAAAATTAAAATTTCAAACTCGAATTTCATGTTCAAATTCGAAACTTTGTGGTTGTATTCAAAATTCCAAGTTCAATCTCAAATTTGCTAATTCAAACAAAAAATTTCCTGTCAAAATTAGAGTTCAAAGTTGCAATTTGGTATAAATTCAAAATTTCGAGTTGAAACCATATATTTAATGTTTCAAACTGAAAATTTTGAGGTCAAACTAGGATTTCCGCTTCAAGTTTTATATTCCAAGATTGTACTCAAAATTTTGAGTTAAATTTTCAAATTTTGAACTCAAACTTGAAATTTCCTGTTCGAACTGGAAATTTCAAATTCAAAAATTCGAATTCAAACTCAAAATCTATTGTTTACATTTTAAATTTTGTTTTTTTTGTCAATTTTTTTTCAGTTCATTTTTTCAATTCAAAATCAGAATTTCCTGTTCAAACCGAAAATCAAACTCGAAATTTCAAGTTCAAACTCAAATTTTTGAGTTCGATCTCAAATTTCTTAATTCAAACACGAAATACACTACGTAAAACTCCCGGGGACACATTTTTGTACAGAATTAACTCACCTTTATCCTTCCAGAAGACAGAAGATGCTGCGCCATCCCCTTTATGATAACATCGAAGAAGAAATCGGAATGATGCATAAATTTGTTCACGACCAAAAAGTCGGTGTTGTTCGGGTGCAGAATAACGGGCAGGTGCTTGCACATCTCCTCGTGGACAGTGACGTTCTTCTTACTGTCAGGCGAGACGAAAACGTATTTAACGTAGGACTGCAAAATATCCCTCCTGTTGGCGTCGTACACCATATTCACTAGATTTATGAGCACTCGTATTATGTTCAGCCCTATCTCTTCGCTGGACGTCACTACTAACAAAGTGAAGAGCTGGTTGAAGAGAGTCGGCAGGAACGTTATCAACGTGGTCAAGTGAATGGCATGTAGCGCTTTGAGAATCTTGCAAGTCTCGCCCTCGGAAGGTACGGCCGACGGTTTGGGATCCAACAGCCTCTCTGCGTGCATGAACAAGTTGAACAAGTGCTGGTCTTTCGTGTTTATTGTCGACGCTAAGTTGAAAGCTATGGTGAAGATCGGCTTCTGACCGTCCACCCAATTTATTTCTGGTCCCGCGTTCTAAAATGGGGAATTAAACTAATGGTTGAGTTGAGATAATGGATTCGTACTTACCCCTCTGCCGAGGCCGAAGGGGTGTATGGAAAGGTACCCGGGAGGCAAATGGGAGGCGACCGGTATGACCTGAGTTTCTACGTTGAGTTTTCCTTTCTGGAGCAGGGGCAACCATGCGTACCCGACACAGTTCTCTATCCCGTTCTCCCTCTTCTTGGTAATATCACAGGATATGTGGTAAAATGTAAAAAGTAAGTGGTGCGAGTAGAGTATATTTGTCGGTAACCTTATCTTTACTTCCTCGTACCACATGGGGATGGCGTTGTGGTGCAGAACGGCACAAGATACCTGAGAAACTAACGGGGGTTGGCCGGGACGGCCGTAGATGCACTGAAATCGAAAGGTTACGTTGCTTGTAATTAAAAACGTGCACGGTGGTCCAGTATGCAATGGCAAAAATAGGGTATTACCTTCGAATTATTAACACCCGCACCGATTTTCATGAAAATTGGTGAGTACGCTCATTTCACCCTCTTTTACAAAAGTAACATATCCACAATGTGTGCTTATTGTTTTTAGGGGGTGAAAACTACCTCTTTTTGCAAAAAATGTAAAAACCATATATTTAAGTGTTACGTCAATAGAATAAGCATTCTTTTATGTTTTGAATAATAATTTTTGATTTGTAGCAACATTTCAACCCTTAAAATCCACCCTTTTGAGGAAAAAAAAAACAAAAATTAGTTTTCGCGGCTCTGAAATGTTTTGACGGAGCAATAATGAAGAATTGAATATTTTTTACCATTTATGAAATAATACATGATTTATTGCAACGTTTCAACCCTTAAAAACAACCCTTAATGAGGAATTGAAGAATATTTACCTGCTTCAAAACACTCAACGATACATTACTAAATTCTACGAGATTACTTAAAACTTGAAACTCCATGTAATTAGTGTGTATTACGCCTCGGAAACTATCGGAAATTAAGCCATTTACACAATCCGACAATTTTCACTGAAAAGTACAATTCGTTTTTTCGCGATAACTTTTTTAATTTTTAATATTTTTCATCGCTCCACAAAGCAATTTGCAGGGAATTGCAAGAGCTACAAATCAACCTTTATAGTTGAAGAGTCTTGAACTGTTTGTTTCCGAGATTTTTAGGTTTTAAGGGTTCAAAGAAAATGGTCCTTACACGCAAACTAAAAATCGTAATATCTCAGTCAATTTTTGCTCTACAGAAAAATTGAGAGAGCAAAAATATTATAAAAAAAGACCTTTAATTTTGAACTCTTGCATTTTTCACGTATCTTGTTTAATTTTTTAAGTAAATTTTTATAAAAATTAATTTTTTTTTTTCATTATTTCAAACTTTTATTTTAAATTAGGCATTCTAAATCAGTCAAACTTGCAGTGCCTATTATTAGTACCTAAATAGAGTCAACTGTACATGGATTACGCGTAGTTTCTATTTTTATGGTTCAGCCAGATTTTATTGTCGATTTTTTCTCCGAAAAAATGAGATGACCATCTTATTTTCATCATAATTCCGCGAGTTTTTGAACTACGAAATTTTTTCAAAAAGCATTTTAAAGGCCTTTCCAAGCTCTTTAAAAAAGGTTATATTCATTTTCTTCGAAAAATTAGTTCTTTCGCCATTATTTTACGGTAAAAGGTTCGATTTTACTTTCTGAAAAATAAACAATCACCTTTAGAGTGTGATAACTCGGTTATTATTACATCTACGGTAATCAACAAAAAATTTATCGATTCGTTATTTTAAAAGATTTATTTTTGCTATATGAGTTTTTCGATAAATCGCAAGATTTTCGAGTTATTTATCAAAAAAGTTGAAAAACATGCACTTTTTAGATGAAAACATTTTCAATCGCAAATAACTCTGAAAATATAAATTTTTGGAAAAAACATTACTTATAGAGCATTTTTTGACCCCGAGAAGGGGTGGCATTCACCCCCAGGGTGAAAGCACACATCGGCACTATGTAACTTTTGTTTCTTGGGTAATTTTCTACTTACTGTTAAAATTTCACGTCAATCGGTGCACATGTCAAGAATTCGGACGTAAAAACCGTCATATACTGAGCTAGGGGTATTCATATGACATTCCATCCCCATTATATTTTTTTGCCTTTCTGCCGGAAATGGTTTTGAAAGATTAAGCGGTGTGATGTGCATTAGAGAGCGAGGAGCGCATACCTTGTCGTTCGGAAGGTGGCAAGGTGCCGAAACTGCGAGATGTTTGTTAACTTTTGGCGTTCTTGCGGTTTTCCTTGGACAAATTTCACTTTTCAAATTCAAGTTTTTTGCGTACACTAATAAGTAACATAAAATCAATTTACGTTTTAAAATAATAATTTTTACTGTTTTACAAAATGTACACAATAAAAATAGACCAGGGTCGATAATTTTTGAAACCAAAAAAAATTATAGTTGGATGAAACCCATTGGAAAAGAAAGGGAATATAACAGAAATGAAAGGAAAAATAATTTACGAGCGATCTGAGGTCGGGAAGGGGTAGGGGGTGAGTTTTTAAGTGTAAAAAACGGTTTCCCTTGATTTCCAGAAAAACTACAAGTCTTATGGAAAAAAGTTAAATAACAAAGTTGTAGGTAATAAAAGGATCTACAACTTTTGTATTTGCACTTTTTTCACATAACCTCAAAATTTATGTGAAAAATTCAAATAACCAAGTTTTTGGTTTTTTATTTTTCTTTTACAAAAGAAAAATTTTTTTCAGAAAATTTGGTGAAAACTTACCTATTTATGTCCCAAACACGCTGTAATTTTTTTGATTTGAAATATTTATTTTTTCACCTTATTTTTACTTAATATCGAAGAAGCACACTAATTTTCAATTGAAAATTCTCACGTCAAAATATCTGCTTTTTTAAAAACGTCGGTGGGCTTTTTCTTCGTTGAAATCTCTACTTTCGGCTAAATTATGGTGCTTTTTCGATATTAAGTAAAAATAAGGTGAAAAAATAAATATTTCAAATCAAAAAAATTACAGCGTGTTTGGGACATAAATAGATAAGTTTTCACCAAATTTCGTGAAAAAATTTTTCTTTTGTAAAAGATAAAAATAAAAAACCAAAAACTTGGTTATTTGAATTTTTCACATAAATTTTGAGGTTATGTGAAAAAAGTGTAAATACAAAAGTTGTAGATCTTTTTATTACCTACAACTTTGCCATTTAACTTTTTCCATAAGACTTGTAGTTTTTCCGGAAATCAAGATAAACCGTTTTTTACCCTTAAAAACTCACCCCCTTCTCCTTCCCGACTTCAGATCACCCGTAAAATATTTTTCTTTTCATTTCTGTTATATTCTCTTCCTTTTCCAATGGGTTTCATCCTACTATAATTTTTTTTCACTTTTTACCATTTTTGAGGCTTAAGCACTGGTCTAAAAATAAATAAGAATTCTCACTGATCTGATAGATTTTATATATTTTTTAAAATCATTTCCAATTTTTAATGAAAAATATTTCTTCCTATTTTTTTAAGCACCGTGTTTAGTTTGTGAATGACCTCCGACACTGACCTAGATTAGGTGAACTACCACCTACCACCACCCTCAATCCACCTGATGTGATATGACGACCACATTACTTCGACGAAACGAGAGTGGCGAAATTTCTGCGTCATTACCGAAAATACATATATTTGAAAGTTAAAAAAAAGATAAGGGTGACAGAATGTTGTACGAATACCTCTGTACGCGTTAACTTACTTGCAACCCTCTCGCTTCTTCGTTATCGGAATCCCGCACCTCCACGACGCACGCGATATTCCTGGCCCTGGTGAAAGTCTTCTGGGTGTCGTAATTGAGGCTAAGCGGGTACACGTAGAGGTGGTTGACGAACGTCGTGTACGGGTTAACGTCTTTTTCCGACACCCCCTCGAATTCCGTTACTTCTACTGTCGGTTCGTTCGTTGGAGGTAAAGGAAACGGTTTCAGCGGCGCTAAAGAAGTAGATAAGCAGTCTGAAAATTACAAAAAAAAAAAATATGATATTAGGTTGGAACTAGTTTCTTAGGGGGCTTACTGGCTGGAAGATCGTTAATGGCAGACACCTTAATTTCTAAGGATCCTGGAATCACAGTGAATTTATTAAATTTATCGGGTTTCCTGTAATCAGAGAGCAGCTTCAGCATTTCCTCGTCTGTTATTTTGTTCGGTTCCTGCCTGTAGAGAGCGTGGAAATCAGACGTCGAGTCCAATTCGTTACTGTACAATCTGAAAATAGAAGAGAGAAAATGAGGTATTTTATTAAAATTAAACACTTTTATTATTGTTCCCTTCATAGGCATGAAATTATGTTCTAGGATGTTACAAAGACACCTTTTTAATGACGTCACTAACTGAAACCATCATAGAATCGATATTACTAAAAAAGTTATAATATATATACCGATTTCGAAAAAAGAGTATGTGAAATTCACCGAGTTGATTGGTGTTTATTAAAATGTATAGCCTATTTCAATTACGCTTAGTTTCTATTTTTATGGTTCAGCCATAGATTTATTGTCGATTTTTTCTCCGAAAAAATGAGATGACCATTTTATTTTCATCATAATTCCGCGAGTTTTTGAGCTACGAAATTTTTTCAAAAAG